TCGTTACATTCACACAAATTTATTGACCCGATCCTTTGAGGCATCGTTTGAGAAGAAGATTTATAGGATTTTTTTTGGTTATTTTAGTTACAAAAGATAAAATAGGTTATTTTAGTCACAACTAATAAAATATCACATCCAATCCATAATCATTATACTATTCTCTCACCAAAAAAATTAAAAAAATTAAAAAATCCTTCTCAAACCAAATTTTTTATCTCAGGCTAAAATAGTCAAAAAAAACTAAAAAGTCAACTTACTTCCCAAATCAACCTTGAATTGACGTGACTTTGTTTGGCAGAAATTAAATTCTAATTGTTTTTTTTATGCATTTGTTTCACGCGTGAACCTAAGGTCTTGTTTGTCATAATTTAAAAAAATTAAAAAATCATTATTCTATTTAAGTTATATCATTTTATTTAAGTTACATTACCTCTCTATTACATTACAATTCATACTCAATACATATTTCATAAAAAATCAAAAAATATATTTATTTAGATCATCCAAAATAACCTCTAAATCAACAATCTTTCGCTTTTTTCAAGACTTCCCTCACTCTGAAATGGCTCTCTTCTTTTTAAACAAATAACCAACCGCTGTCGACGAACCAGCCACCTCTCACTCTTACTTTCTTATCTTTCTCTCTGCATTGCTTCGATCCTCTCATCCTTTCTAACGTTTCTTCTCCTCTCTGACTATGGCTTTCTCTCCGGTGCCATTCTCAAGTAAGCTCTAATATGTATCACTCTCCGGCAAGATTTGGTTTCTTGGCAAGATTTGATTTTTTGTTTTTTTGTTTTTTTTCTGTTATTGGGACCAGATTCATTTATGTAAATCAAAAGTAATTTACAATGTTATGGCTATGGTTACCAGATAATAATAATACATAGTAACCTTGAGTTCATGATCTATTTCAGTTGTGATTTTCTACAAGTATTTTTTTGGATACTTATGTGTAAGTCTTAATAAGTGAACTTATTGTCTAATAGAGTTTTATTGAAAAAATTTGTCATAAAAAAAAGTTACTAATTGTAAGTTTTAGTGATAATTTATAAAAATCATGACAAAAAAGTCACTAATTGTCAATATTTAGTGACATATATAAAAAATTGTCACAAAAAAAAAAATTAGTGACAATTTTACCAAAACTTATTTTCAATAGGACTTGATATGAATTAAGTCCAACTATTATGGCCTATTGGTAGTTTACCTTTTTTTTTTGCCTTCCATTTTATTTGATCGTTGCTTTAGCTCGGCGATTATAGAAGGGTGACACATCAACGGTGATGAGGTGAGGCGTCGGCAGCGATAAAAAGCATATGAGAGAGAGTGCAGAGTTTGAAAGAAATAAGAGAGGATCATATCATAGAGAGAGAGATTCTCAGAGAGAGAGAAAGCACATGGATCAAACCAGGTCATTCGAGCGATTCAGGCGGGTTATTTTTGTATGGATAAATCATTTTTGATATTTAAATTATACACCTCTTAAAATAATTTAATTTTACTATACCTTTTAGGATAAGTTACATTTAACTCCTATGAAGTTTAATGAAATTGTAGAAATCTCCTTTGAAGTTTAATGAGATCACAGAAACTGTTCATGAAGTTTCTTACTCAAACCTCCATTAAAGTTTAGTTTTTAAATATCCTAACCTTCCTTGGGATTTGATGAAATGTAGAAATCTCTTTTGAAAATTTTAAAATTACGGAAACCTCTCTCGAAATTTAATTTTTAATTACCTTGACCTCTCCTAAATTTTAATGAAATTGCAAAAACTTTTTAAGGTTTTTGAAATGACGTAAGCATCCATTGAGGTTTGGTTTTTTACAACATTTCCACCTTCTGATACTTTATCATTAAAAAATAACATAATATATTGACATTATCAAACAATTTAATAAATTTTTACTTTACCTTTTAAAAATTTGTCTAATTACATAAAAGTAAAAAAAAAATATTTTCTATCTTTATTATGCCTGCAATTACTATTGATTGTGTATATTTCTTTATTCAAAATTCTATTCAAAACTTTAAAAAAAAATTAAAAATTTCGAATTTTTTTTATTTAAAATATAAAAAATAACAGGTGCTAATTGTAAAAAAAATAAAATAAAAAAATAAAACTGTTCCAGTCAACCGGCCGGACGTCTAGGAGGACGACTGATTTGTCCAAATTTTCCCACCTTGAAAAGAGTTTTCAAAAGTTGGTGTAGAATTAATTTTTGAAAACTCTAAACATACAGGACACTCAAAGTAAAGGATAAAAATATATTTGAAGAAGCTAACCAAACACAACCTTAATTTTTTTATATTTTTACATGTATAAGCCAATAAACGATTTATTTGATTTGTTATCAAACTCACACTAATCTCTACACAAATACAAATCCAACCTTCACTGTGTAATACATAATTATCCAAATGTATATACATAAAATGTTTAGGACCGTGCTAGGGAGCTCGAAAGCTCCCCCCCGAATCCCCTTAATTCTGCAACGATGCCGTTTTTGATTTTTTTTTTTTTTTTTTTTTTTTGCATAAGAAGGAAGATCAGAGAAGGAAGAAGGAAGAAGAAGAAGGAAAGAAGAAGAAGGGAGGAAGAATGAGGAGGAGGAGGAGGAGGAGGAGGAAGGACTGGAGAGACATTTCCACCTTCTGATACTTTATCATTAAAAAATAACATAATATATTGACATTATCAAACAGTTTAATAAATTTTTACTTTACCTTTTAAAACTTTGTCTAATTACATAAAAGTAAAAAAAAATATATTTTCTATTTTTATTATGCCTGCAATTACTATTGATTGTGTGTATTTCTTTATTCAAAACTCTCAGACATTGTAAAAAAAATGATAAAAAATATTGACATCATCAAATAATTTAATGAAAATTTTAATTTTACACTTAAAACTTGTCCAATTATAAAAAAATTAAAAATTAAAAATATAATTTCTATTTTCTCTCTTTATTATTCCTACAATTACTATTGATTTAAATTTTTATGTTCCTTTTTTTCCCTCAAATCCCCTATATGAATTGCAATATTTTTCTTTGTAATTGGACACCATTTTAAAAGGTAAAATTAAAAATGTAATTAAATTATTTTTACAACAAATAAACAGAATAGGAAATATGTAATAAAAAATCAAACATTAAGTGAGGTTTTTACTATTTCATTAAACCATCCCTACCAAGTTCCCTTAGAAAGACAACATAATCATTGTCGGTACTAATAACAATGACGATTTTTCATTTGGATCCAAAATTAGTGATGAAATGAACAATCTCCTATCATGAAATAAATGATGAAGTTTGTGATCTTCAATGGTCAACTAAGCCTAAGCCATTATAATTTTCTTAAGAGCTAAAAAGGAAGATCATGGATTCAATTATCTTTAAAGAGAAAATTTGCTTAATTACAATTGTGGAGAGACTACTTTATAAGTGCTTTGCAAAGGTGTTGTGTTTGTTTGAGTTTTGATCTTGTTTTCAGAGTGACAAAATGGTGGTTAAATGTATAGATGGCGACCAAATGAAGTTAAGGTTGGTTAGCATGATGTGGTGGAAAAAGGATGTTGTGTTTAGTAAAATGGTGGTAGTGATGGCAGAGGTGGAGAGGATGTTTATATGCAGTGTATTATGGGGTGATTGGGGTATGACTTAGGTAGTGTTTGGTAGAATTTTCTAAATATGATTTGATAATAGAATTGTATTTTGAGTTTGTGAGTTTTGAAATTATGATTTGAGTGTGAAAAATTTGTTTGGTAAATGAGTTTTGAAAAGAGTTTGAATTGGGTGAGAAATTTTTGATGTGACATATAATATTTGATACAAAAACTTATAACTTATAACCAAACATACAACTCAAAATTCTATTCAAAACTCTAAAAAAAATTTAAAAATTTCGAAATTTTTTTATTTAAAATATAAAAAATAACAGGTGCTAATTGTAAAAAAAAATAAAAATAAAAAAATAAAACTGTTCCAGTCAACCGGTCGGACGTCTAGGAGGACAACTGATTCGTCCAAATTTTCTCACATTAGAAAGAGTTTTCAAAAGTGAGTATGGAATTAATTTTTGAAAACTCTAAACAAACAGGACACTCAACATAAGGGATAAAAATATATTTGAAGAAGCTAACCAAACACAATCTTAATTTTTTTATTTTTTTACATGTATAAGCCAATAAACGATTTATTTGATTTGTTATCAAACTCACACTAATCTCTATACAAATACAAATCCAACCTTCAGTGTGTAATACATAATTATCCAAATGTATGTACATGAAATGTTTATACGCAAATGCAATACAAGTGAAAGAAGAGTAGTAAATTTAACAAAATTCCGAATTTAACTTATTATAAAAATCAAAATTTTAGAATTATATATATATATATATAATTTAGAAAATGTTTGAGGGCCACAATTTTTGTGACCACAATAGCTCAAAATTGCCAAAATGACATCGTTTGGGCATGTTTTGCACTCAAAACGACATCGTTTTAGCAGTTTTGAGCCATTGTGACTACAAAAATTGTGGCCCTCTAACATTGTTGATATAATTTTTCAGTTCATTGCTATTTCCCATCTACTATCATTTTTTATATTTCATACTTAGACTTTATTTGGGAATAAATTATTTTAGTAATTTTTTTTAATAAAAAATTATGTAAAAAAATAAAAAGAGTGATGTGATAATTTATAATGATTTTTTTATTTTTTAACTAAAATACATAATTACCAAAGGAGACCTTAAAATAATCATATCATCTAATTTTAAAAGTTTTTAATTCCATTAATTTAGATGAAATCCACGATATACATAATTTTTTTAAAAAAAAAAATTAAAATTTGAAAATTAATTAATTTCTCCTGAAATAAAACAGTATGCTGTCTGGTTTCCTAGGAATTTAAAATGGAAGTACAAACCTATCACCTAATATGGACCCACCAAGTCAGGGTTCAGGGAAGCAATAAAAATATAAATACGCACTACGCGAACAAACCAATCCAATCCAATCCATCATCACATTCTCTCTCTTGATCGCTTGAAAACTACCATCCTCCTCCTCCTTCTTCAACGACACTCACTCACTCACTCACTCACCATCTTCGAAGATTCTGAATCGAATTCCTACAAAACTACAAATCCAAACTCCAATTTCTTCTGATTTCAATTTGATTTGACTTTCTTTGATTTTAATGGCGATGGAAGACAACGAGAGTTGGGGTAGTAGAGCTGTGGATTCGTCGCCGAAGCAAAATCGACAGGACGGACAGAGACTCGAAGTCTTCAACGAAGTCCTCACTCGACTCCAACACTTGAATCACCAAGACGCCAATCTCCCTGGTTTCGAAGACCAACTCTGGCTTCACTTCAATCGTCTCCCTCCTAGGTATTCAATTCAATTCAATTCATTATCCTGTTTGGTTTACCTGAAAAAGACGGCGAAATTAAAATAATTGGATTACCTTCTCGTGTTCGCGATTTCCATGCTTCAAATCAAATCATGCGTGTTTATTTCAAATTGATTTGATCATATTCCTCTGTATCTGGGTGACGAGTTTGATTGGTGATGTGTAGATATGCATTGGATGTGAACGTGGAAAGGGCTGAAGATGTGCTCACGCACAAGAGACTACTTCATCTGGCGGAAGACCCTGCTGCTCGACCTGTATTTGAAGTTCGTCTTGTGCAGGTAACCAGAATTTAGATTTGTTTCATTGTCAATCTAGACCCCTTTTGCCGTAAATTCATTAGATGATGATCCTTGTATTTTCCTTCATCACCAGAAACAAATCGTGTCTTGTGGTGTGGTGGAATAGAGGTGATATAATTTATATTCAACCTACTCAGTGAGATGAGATGGCCTTTATAGTTACGCTATCTATCATCAATGGATAGTAATGCTTGTTTAGTGGGAGTAAATCTGTTGGCAGGGACAGTTTTTGTAGAATTAAAATATAATTCAATCAATTTTCTCTCGTTTATACAATACAAACTTCATTTCAGATTAAGTGTTGTTGACAGGCTTGTGCAAAAATTTGATTTCGTGATGTGAAAGAGGCCGGGGAAGATGTTGTTTAACTTACATCTAGAAGGGCTCCATCATTATCACATTCGTAGAGGGGTGGTTGTTTAATCAGTAAGTTGTATTTAACAATCTCCTGCTTCACCACCACCTATTTTTTATTCTTTCTTGTGTAAACTTTAACAAGAAAGAAAGTATTGGCTTTTGGGAAGAACCGTGATTCAAGATTTGATAATTGTTCCAAGTGGTTGGACAAAGGCTTTACTGAATTGATTGGGGTTTTTTATGGAACTTTGCATCCCTTTTTGATAGTCTAGAGTTCGAAAAATTTATAAACTTGTTTGATTGTATTCAGGTTTGTTGACCAGCAACTTAGCCAGATCTCTAGGCAATTTATATATTTTTTAAATTATTGTTATTATTATTAATTTTTTTTTTTTTTTTTCAATGCACTCAGGTATATGTGTGTGTGTGTGTGAGAGGAATGTTTTTATAGTTTTCTGTATTACCATGAGGGACTTTAAGATAAATTTGGTGACCTTAGGCCTCTCTCTTGATTTGGCTAGGATAAAGTTTTTTGCCCACTAGAAAAAATGCTCCTTTGTTATGTTGGCATTGGCAATGCAAACGCAAATTGCCCTAATAAATGTTGTAAAACACTGAAGGCAGACATTATCTTCATTAGTATCATAGTTGATCCACGTACTGTGCATGTACAAGACGTGTCTGTAAATGAAAAATATTTTTGTTTAGTGCCCAATTTCCATGGATCTGTATAGGACTTCATACTGTACCCTTTCGGATGTAAAAATGAATCCAAACCCATTTCTTTTTCGCTGCGGACTCACTGTCTTCTTCCACTGGCAAGCTCTGCAATCTCCATCCGTCCATCTCATGAATTGGCACAAGTATTTGTTCCTCTTAGCTTGATTTTGGAATCTTGTAAGAGCTTTTGCCATCGATCTCAGTTCAATGTCTTGATGGCCTTATGTATTGGATTTGGATCCTCTTATGCAGGTTCATCCTACCTCTTGTGGAAATTCAGTTGACTCTAATCATTTGGATTCTCTAGTGAAAGAAGATGCTCAAAGTTATGCAAATCATTCTAGTAGACAGGGGTAAACTATGATATGATCTTGATTTGTTTTTTAGTCTTTTCAAACATCTATCAGTGTCACTTTCTGTGCTATGTTTGCTTTATTTCTTCATATCCTGGGTACCTTTTCTTTGCATTTTTTATTGAATTATGCTACTCTGTCTCTATTCCAGAATCCATCCACCCCCTACGTTTGGTTCGTCACCTAATCTTGAAGCTCTTGTACTTCAAGCTTACACATCTGAAGTTGAAGACGGAGATAGTGTTGTTCATTCCACTGCACAGTTTTCCCGGTAAAACTTTGAAAAATTTAGCACTAGATCAAATGATTTCTTTGGTTTATTCATAAGCACCAAATTTAGTGTCCATGGTGTCATAAGTGACATTTTTTATACCCCTTACAAAATCTTGTTGAACTAAAGTTTATATTTATGTGCTGTAGGATGCTTTAATTGGTTATTGGTTGTCTGGTCTACTTTTATTTGAACAAATATATTAAGCTATCTACTTGGTATATTCAATTATTCTAAATTTTTTAGATTAATTTATGATATTTCAGTGGTAAATAATTTTTCATGTGGCCTTGCCCATTAACAATTAATTTTCCAAGTTTCTTCTGTTTGGAGACTACAATAATGATTAACTTCTTAAAGTGTTTCCTTCAACTTTATGGGAATTTTCTGGAGATCATTAGTTTGTCTTGGAATTTGACTTTAAGACTCAGAGAAAATAATTGTAGTCATAATTGTGGGGTCTATGGTGGTTATAAATGAACCAACTTAATGAATTGTTTTCCCCCATTATTTCTTCCTTTTCTTCTTTTATTCGCATGACACTATTATCAAGGTATTCGCTCACAGCTCCCCAAAAAAAATTTGGTCTCAAGGCCCTAGCATATCAATTCCCCATCTACCCCAACCCGTTAGTATTGGGTGATTTAACACAAGAAACCCATAAAATCAATAGAATTGTTTGGTTTTGATTGATTTTCTTAAAATTGAATTTTTTATTTTTCATGCTTTTTTGTTTTTAGTGATTTTTTTCTAATATTTTAACCAAATTTTTTACTTTTTGAAATGCACCTAACCTAGATGTTCTTAAAAAATAAGATATTTGTGAAAAAATATTTTTTAAAAATCAATAAATACACAAGAATACGAAAATATACTGAGTTCTTCTTTATTTTTATTTTTATTTTTATTTTTATTTTTTTATTTTTGGTATTTAGTGATTTTTAAAATTAAAAAAAAAATCACAAATATTATACTTTTTAAGTGTATTTATATTAGGTGTATCTAAGAACTAAAAAATTTGCTTAAAATATTAAAAAAATTCAGTAAAAACAAACAAATACGGAAAATTAAAAACTCAATTTTCAGAAAAGAAGAATAAACGGTTGCAATTTTTTGTTAATCCTTCAACCATCAACATTTTAAATCAATCGATTTTAGCTCTTTTCTAGAAGGTTTATTTTTACCTAATAGAACCTAAAAGCTTTCCTTGCCTTGAACCCATCAAAAAATCATCAATTGGATAGCGTTAGGAATAGAACATCATAAAGGGTGTTGAACAAAAATGATTTAAGTAGAAGTACACTAGAAGCTGAGATTACATCAGTTTGGCATTTGAGTGTCATGTGTACATTAGTACTCTCTATCTGTAAGATAGCAGAATTTTCTCATTTCATTCTTATAATTCTGTGAGATATGTTCGAAAGGCTATTGAGTAAGTTCATGGCAAAGGATATGCTCTATAAGTTCTTGTAGTACCTCGTCTCACATCGCTTGGGTTTGAAAAGTTTTTTGGCTATATGGGTGAGTTCGCATCCCTTCCTTGTAACAACGTATCTTAAAGCCATGAGAGTCTAACCTGAAGAGGACAATATCTTTATTGTATCAATTACTGCTTGAGACGGGGGCGATCCAATTGTTATCAAAGCAAGATTTGCCTCATGGTGTGTGGGCCATGCTATGCGGGACCATGTTGTATTGTATGTACCAAAGTGCTACTTCATGTAGTGGGGGCATGGGTGAGCCACCTCTTGAATCCCAGTGGGAATCATTGTGTGTTACAATTGGTATTAGAGCGGGACCTGTCTCCTGGTGTGTGGTCCTTGCTGGGTTGCGCAAGATCGTGTTGTACTGTACGGATAGAAGTACTACATCTACATCATGCAATGGAGACATGGTGTGAGCCACCCACCTCTTGAATCTTGCAGGGAATCATTAATTGTTATAATTGGTATTAGAGTGGGACCTGCCTTGTGTGTGTGAGCTATATTAAGTTTTATGGGGCCAATGTGTTATACAAGCTGAAATGTTGCATTGCGCAACGGAGGCGTGGTGTGAGTCACCACTTGAATCCGGTGGGATTCATTGGTCTCATGTGGATGTGTCGTCATGTTGTACCTTGTCCCACATCGCTTGGGTGGGAAAAGTTTTTGGGCTATTTGAGTTCGTTCAGATCCATTCCTCAAACTTGTGTTTTAAAGCCATGAGGACATAATCTAAAGTGGACAATATCATTATTGTTAGGGATGGAGGGGTTATAGTTGTTGTGCTGAAAGATTTGAAAGTAAATTCTTGGAATTTGGGTGTCTTCTTCAAATAATTTAAAACCACCCAAGTTAGAGAAACTCTCTCTCTCAAACGCAGTGTTCCTAATTATACATGAGTTTTTTACTCCATCTTTGTGGTATCAATACATAGGGGTTTAAATTGTAAAATGTGGGAACAAATTGAAAACTTGCAGCAACTTTCACAATGGATTCTGAACCACACACGTTGGTGCTGTTTCTTTTTATTTTTGCTTCTTGGTTTTGTTTTGTTTCTGTAGAAATATATGTATTATTGATTGATATTTTGATATTCTTGTCAATTAATATTCTGTCTATTACAAATAGTTCCTTATATAGATGTAGCTTCATAGCTTTCATAAAACTTATATTTTATTTGACTGTTAATTTCATTTATTTACTTAATCATTTTAAGTACTTGGCTAGGCACTAATTTTGTTATATAGGCTCAATTATGATAGGAAATAAGAGACTAGTGATGGTGTTACTTATAGAAATAAAATAAAATAGAATGTGATAATTGGAGAAACGTTTCTATTATATTGTATAAGTTACGTATACTTCAAAGAAAATCCTAAAGAAGGCTGTATGACTAGTAATGCTTTACTGGAAAGAAAGTTAGGCACCTAATATAGAAAGTGTTTGAAAAATGAGTGTGACAAAATGGGATGCTTAGGTGAATGTGTGGTAAAATGAGAAAGGATAGAGCTAGGAAGCGAAGAATTTGTGAGACAGTTAGCATCCAATGGTGATAAATAAGAGAAAACAGCTGAGATGGTTTGGCAGTCTGCAGTAGAGACCAATATTCGCATTAGTAAGGAAATTATAATGTCCGCATTAAGGGTAATGTTAGGAGAAGAGGAAGACCAATATTAACATGAATTGAGATAGTAAGGAAAAACATGGTAGCATGCTATTTACCTGAAGTTATGGTGATCTAGGATTCTTGTAACTGATCCCAACAAGTTGGGATAAGGCTTAGTTAACTCAAGTAAATGCATGCATCAAACCACTAAGCTAACCACTCGAGGAGAAGGTGCCATAGTTGCATTTGAAATGTAGTTTACTGTGGGATTTTATTGTTCTATTCTTTTTCGTTTTTTTTCATTTTCCTTCATTTGTATTCTATTTTGTTTAATTTCTTGTAGTATTGCTGCACAAAATAGTATGAAAAAGTTGGATAAAATAAGTTGAAGTTTCTAGGTAAAGATATAGAAGAATGCTGCTGTCCTCCTGTTCTATTTTCCAACCTCAGATTCTTCATACTAAAATTGATTGCTTTTAGAAGGATGACTATTTACTCGATCCTTTCTTTAGCTGTTCAGAAAAGGACATTAGCTGTACTTCTGCATTGTGTACATTATGTTTTATTAAGGTTGAAACATATTACTCCTGTTCAAATGACATTTTAAACTGTTTGTCATGCAGGCCAATGCACGAGATCACTTTTTCAACAGTAGACAGGCCAAAACTCCTTAGTCAGGTAGTTGTCTAAGTTTTTCCTTTATTGCTATGTGTTACGAAATTAGTGATGGATAATTTTCACATCTTTACATGTTTCTTCAAATATGCAATTATTTATTTCTTGCATTGAACAAGGATATCCCTAGCAAAAGTACATGCATAAGTATATTTATGTATATATATATATAAATAACTTAATATATATCTATGTGTATAACTGAAATATGATTTGCTTTAAACTTTCAAGCCATGTAAAGAAGCAGCCAATATATTTGAACATTCACCATGGTTCTGGCTGTTGATGTTTATTTTATTTTAGATAATTTATGCATTGGAGCCCCTTTTGTGCACATTGTAGCAGATGCTATCTTGTACTTAAGAACAATGATGTAGAGAATTGTCTCCTTTAAGGTGGTGATTGGAGTAGAAGTTTGAATGTCAGTTCAAATCATATGAGTCATGTACTGCCCAGAAATAAACGTGACTAGATTTCTTTCACATCCATTTATTACTGTTTGTCTCTCCTTCTAGCTTATGCCTAGACAGGCAGAGAAATGGAAAAAGTCTATTTTCTCCTATCTTATAGTTTGCTTGTTTAGATTTGAACTACCTTCCGTAGCTTTATTTCTATCTGAATGATAATTGGATGTAGTAAACAATGGTTAGCGTATGCTTAATGTAGTTCAAAACTATGTTTTGGTAATCTAGTTTGAAACTTCGAAAAATAAAAAAATGAAAGAATGTTGATAATGATTTTTCACTAGATTACCCAAATTACATGAAACGGGCTAAAAGTTTTGCCTGTGCAGAGCATAGAATTTATTATTATTATTATTTTTTATTTTATCTGGTCTTGTGCTAGACTGAAAATTCTATCTAGAATGGTCCAATGTGGATGGAGATTGACAACTTTACTGTCAACTGCTTGTACCATACAACAATAGGTATTTAAATGATTTGTCAGATAGAACCGTAATGTTGTGCTTTTAATGTAGTTGAGAGTGACTATGTACTAGTGGTTTGTCAAATATGTAAAGTACTTTTATTTTCATATGATACTATAAAAGGAGGATCTGGGCCTATCAAGGTTAAGCTCTCTTGGATGCTTTTTCTCCTCTTCTGTTTTTTCTTCCTAATATCAGAACACATATCATAGTAGGAAATCCCTATGGTTGAATCCTGTCAATGTAATATCATTATACAATCACATGCCGGGTCTAATCATGAGAGGGAGTTTGGCCATATGTGGCTGGGCATGTTGATGATAAAAACAATTACATTAACTGCTTGCTAAGAACTTTAGCTTTCTAAAGTAGTTGGTTGTTTGACACATGCATTTCCTATTTTTTCTTGAACAATCGATGATAGTTATTAATTTTGCAAATTGGCATTCTGGAACATGATAACTTGTTGCAATATAGATGCCATTAATTTGTTTTTGTCAAAGTCATGCATTAAAAATTTGACTTTCAGACCGTCTCCAACTCAATTGAGGATTTTGTTCATGGATGCATATATAATTGTGTAGGAGGATGATGGGTAGTTCGTTAGTTTGTGGAGCTTTTGTATGCCTTACATGTACTTGTGTTTTACAGCATTTGTTGTGCTTGTATCATTCATTGTTTCTTTAAACAAATGAAGAAAAGAAAACAACAAAAATAAGAGAAGTGAATTACAATACTCTGATAGAGCTGTTAAATTGGGACTGAATCCATTATGACATGCTAAAGTTTCTCATTCAAGATTGTGATATCTTTATTATGTTAAACATCCAGTTGACTTCCTTACTTTCTGAGATTGGACTGAACATTCAAGAAGCGCATGCCTTTTCAACTGTTGATGGCTTCTCCTTAGATGTCTTTGTTGTTGATGGTTGGCCTCATGAGGTATGGTCTCCTAAACATCCTCTGGGTACCTGACATGGGAAAAACATTTAGCCATTCATGATGTGCAAATTTCTGGTTATTGATTTCTTGGATGTATAAATTGTTCCTTATTGTTTAGTCTTTTGTGGGGTTTTGCATTTGTGTGTATGTGTGCGCATGTGTTCTGTCTAATTATTCCTAGTTATATATTTGAAGTTTTTGTCCATATGTCATACTTCTAGCGGTGGGTTTTTGTTGGAAATGGATTTTATTTGCAATTCATTTTGTTTTCTTAGTGACTAAAGGAAACATTTAAAAATTTTGGATATCATATTCTTGGAAAATGCTATGAACCCCAAATAATCTACCAAATATTTTACCAAATCTCTCACATGGGTGCGGGACCCACACAAACCTACATGTGTGTGGGTCCAACACCCATGTGAAAGGTTTGGTAAAATATTTGGTAGATTATTTGGGATCCCTAACATTACTCCATATTCTTTTCTTTATCTCTAGGTTTTTTTATTATGCTTCAGGATCAAAGGTAAAGGTAGTTGTTCTGGAGCAATGCACTCAGGTATAAACACCAGTGTCTATCCCACTTCTGGTTGAAGACAATGTTGAATATCTTTGCATCATGTGCAAGTGGAAAAGCTGATAAATTTGTTCCTGATGGATGGTGAATTCTAGAAATAACAGAAAGAACTGTGGTGGGCAAGCATTTTTCTGTTTCAGTATTATATGGTTTCAAATTCCATTTTGGTGGTAAATATGACATTTCTGAGGACATGAGATGCCGCTGTGCCTAAATTAAACTCGACAAATATCCTATTCCATTGAGGTTATTATTTTGTGGTATTGTTGAAAAAAAAGTTTGGGTTCAGCACACTGAAGTAGAAGAAGTCATTTCAACTGGATTTTTAAGATATGCAGATTTTTTAATTTTTTTTATAAGTGAAAATATGTAGAATTATGTTAACATGTTCTTTATTTTTGTTTTATATGCTGGCCAGTTGCCAAATGTGATGGCCTTTTTCTCTTTTCCGAACTAATGAAGTGTACATTATAATAGCTGTTGATAATTTGTTCTCTGTGAACTCATACTAGTAATCTGAACTTTTCTTGGTTTTGGTGCTCTTAACTCTCTTCTTTTTAAGAGATAGAGGCAGACAATAATATTTTGCCTTCTATCTGTCTCTATCTCTGTCTCTGTCTCTGTCTCTCTCTCTCTCATGACATTTTATACTGATTAAATTCCATTTTGGTGACATTTAGGAAACTGAGCAGCTTAAAAATGCACTGGAAAAGGAAATTCTGAAATCCAAGGTAGTTATCCTCCACCAGGATTATGTTTACAATGACAAGTCCGTTCACAAATGTTGCATGTAGAGTCTATTTGTTCATTATGAATGCTCTCTGCTGGTAAAGCTGGTGAATTATATTTATTGATTCTATTGATGCTAAAATTACACTTTTTTTTATAGTTGTTTAGCTCTAAAAGCAAACATCAATTTATGTTCTTTACCTGTTTTTGTTCTATTGCTTTTGATGCTCCACAGTAACTCATGTAAATGTTTATATATATATATATACATATATTGCCCCTTTTATTTGTTTTTCAGCTAGGGTTACATGATTTGAACTTTTTACTGCTACTAATAATAATAATCTGTCAGAAATGAAAAATATCCAATGTTGCTGGAGAGCTGAGGACTTACTGCTTTAATGTACTCTTATGTGTTGTCTCATGCGCTAATAATTAACCTAAGAGTTATAGAGAAATCTCGTATCTAAATGGCATCTTCAGTTTTTTGACTTGTTCTGCTTTCAATTTTGTATGACAAACATCAAACGTTAATAAAGATAGATCTCAAAGCCATATTGACTTATATTTTCCATATTTGTGTCTAGCAAATCTCCAGCTTTTATTATGTTGTGCATGGTTTCAAAGAATATTTGAATTATTGGAGTGGAATGGCAAAAAAAGATTCACATAGCCAACCCTAGTTGATTGGGACGCAGGCTTAGTTTGCTTTGGTTCGTAAACTATTAGACATTATCTTTCTTTCTGACTTTTTCGTTAGCTATTCCTACCCTCTTCCCCATTTTCTCAAGAATGCCTAATTCTGTTTTTGTTTTTGATTTTTGGGTTAAATCTGGTTGATATTTGAAATACACAGCCATTGATAGACCTATTACAGAGCTTAATTAATCATATTTCACTTATGTTTCTGGATCTGTAGTTCATCTGTTTTAATTACCATGTATTATGCATCTATTTGTAAATGAATTTTTTTGTAAATATTCTGCAGGATAAAATTTGTTCAAATCAACATGCATTGTTTCCTATCATCGAACCTAGCCAAGTGCAATCTATATCCTCTACTGATTATGTGAAAATACCTACTGATGGAGCTGATGTCTGGGAAATTGATGCTAGCCTGCTGAAATTTGAAAGCAGCGTTGGATCTGGTTCATTTGGTGATCTGTGAGTTTTGTCACTCTCAACCTATTTCTGATTGTGTCTGAGCTGTCAGTATATCATATCATTTGTCTTCTTCAGGTATAAAGGCACATACTGCAGTCAGGAGGTGGCTATCAAAGTCCTCAAGCCTGATCTTGTGGATAAAGATATGCTGAGAGAGTTTGCCCAGGAAGTGTTCATTATGAGGTCCGTTAGATTAAACCCTTTTAGGTGTGGCAGGCACCATTTATTTTTGTTTTTGTCAGGCATGAGTTAGTTCAGCCTTTTCTAAAATTGATAGTGAAAGGAGTGTTCTTTTATGCTTCTAGAGGCTGTGCCCGAATGTAGTAAAATTTTTCCAGCATATCTTCCTCATTATTGCATAGGCAGTCACTTTGCTGGATTCTTCATTGTCCAGGTCAAATTTTTCAAAATTTTTAGGCTTCTTTGTTGCAGGGGTATTCAATTATTTAATCAATTATGTATAAAGTTCATCTGGGTCCAGGTGAAGAGGCTGCTTACTGTTTCTTGGCATGCCTTCAATCTGGACTGAAATGTGGTGATTTTATAGACAACCTGAGATAGATTTGAAGTTTTGGGTTTGTATTGCTAAAATTGGATTGTTCCTACTTTCCTGGAGATTGTTCTGGTTGGAAGAAGCTGACATTAAGAGAATTCTGCCTGTTCTTGTTTTTTTACAACTTATTTTGGTTCTTGCAGGAAAATTCGGCACAAGAATGTTGTACAATTCATAGGCGCATGCACACGAACTCCAAACCTGTGCATTTTGACTGGTACTTCCAGTGAAATTTTTATTTGTGTAATGCTATATGCTATTCTTAGGTGATAATATGCATCACTATAAGGTATATTATGTTGTTGGAAAGTACCGTTATTCCGAATTGGAATTAATCCAAAATGTGACTGTTGTTCCAGCATTATGGTCTGTTATAAGTTATAACCTTGTGTGAAATTCTAAGTGATAATTCATCCTTGCTATGAGGAAAATAATCACTTTTTGATGATCCTGTTTCTGTCTTATCAGAGTTCATGTCCAGAGGAAGTGTTTATAACTTTCTGCATAAACAAAAGGGTGCATTTAAGCTTCCTGTTCTACTCAAAGTAGCACTTGATATTTCCAAGGGAATGAACTATTTGCATCAAAATAATATTATCCACAGAGACCTGAAGACTGCCAATCTACTAATGGATGAGAATGAGGTAAAAGGCTCTTGGAAGTCTTATATGATTGATCCTTTTGTTAATCGTCCTTTCAATTTTATTTTATATACACATTTGAAAGTGAACTTTTATATTTGTTCTCTCTCTCTCTCTCTCTCTCATGGTCTTTACTCTTGAGTGAATTCCAAGTTTTAATTTTAGTCAGACCTCATGTATGATAATTTTTCTTCTTACAAGTTTCATGTTTGTCTATTTACTTTCACTTTGTATTCATACAGATATTTTTCTTTCTGTCCATGGTGATTTTATCATTACATTGGCATTTTTTTTTCTCCTTTCTACTTTTAAAATGTATTATAATTCTGCCATTTTTGAATTTTATGCCGATTTTTTTGCTTTTGTATTATAGTTTCAATCGTATCGCTTTTCAAATCGCTCTTCCTAATTTGCTTATATTTTGTAGCATTGTAATAATTTCGATACTTTTTTTCTTTTAGAGTTGAGATCAGTGTTTAGGTTTTGCTCCATCTTTTTCTGTCTTATATGTAAATTCAAAGAAAATACAATACTATAGTGATTGATTACAGTAGTAATAAACCAGTTGCTTTTGCTATACATATGACCTGCCCTTTGAATGGTCTGAATACATTCATATTTGGCAATTCTTAAAATTCAAAGGCCGGTTGGTGTTTTGAGTAATGTTGATTGTTTGTTACATGTAGACATTATAATGTCAGTTGTGCAAATTTGTAGCATCTGTCTGAGTTGTGGCCATAGGAAATATGTTTTGCATATTTTGGTGAGTTCATTTGTCAAAATCATGCAGACATCATTTGAAAGTGGCCAAGCGGACATCATTTGAAAGTGACCAATTCTTTACTGAAACATTGTGCTAAATCTCTTGAATTTTATTTAAATTTGAAAGTGGCCAATTCTTGGATAGGTTGTTAAGGTTGCTGACTTTGGAGTTTCAAGAGTGCAAGCTCAATCTGGAGTGATGACTGCAGAAACTGGAACATACCGTTGGATGGCTCCTGAGGTAAGCATGTTTTCATACATTGAGCCTGGACTTTCTGTCACTTCCAATGCATAACCTTTTTGTTTTTTTGTTTTTTTGGCTGTGTATGTTACTATAAGTTCCTTGCTGAAAAGTCGCTACTAATTGTAGTTGTATCATGATTCATTAGTAGCTTGCCATACATTGTTGGTGCCGAGAACTGTTAATGGTCTTGGCTACGTAAGCATGTTACTAGGACTTTCTTGCTGGCCAATATTGAAGCTGTTCCGTCATTGTCTCACCATGTATTTTTGGTGCCAAGACCTGTTAAAAATTATGTTGAAATGGAACCTCTTTTTTGTTTTTCTTCTTTCTTCTGCTTCATTTTCTTTTTAATTTTTTTAGTGGATTATGATATGATACCTTTATATTTTATGTTCCAGAGCATTGTTGCAGCATTTTTAACACTTGTAAATAAATGGTTTTGGTGTCGAGTATGTGTACCCAAAATTGAATTTATTGTGGCTTATTTAGTCATGGTTAGCTCCATTTTCTATTTGCTGTGACCTTCTTGGTGTCGTATGTACTTTATTCATGTCTTATCATAAAAATGTTGTTTTCATTGTTATCAATAAATTCCATGTCAACAATGGATAATTCTCTTTAAAATATCTGTTTGTAGAAATCTAAGGCCCATATGGTTTTTCAAATATCTTTGATATATAGAATCCTGTTGTCTGCTTGTTTTTTGAATGTGTGTGTTTGTAAAGCACCTTCGTTGTTGTAATAGAAACTCTGTCGATAAAATGGTATTTATGCATTGAAGGTCATTGAACACAAACCGTATGATCACAAGGCTGACATTTTCAGTTTCGGAATAGTGCTATGGGAACTTTTAACAGGAGAAGTAAGCCTTTCTGTGTTTTGTTCTCATTTGTAGTTCTGTTGGTATCATCATCATCATAGTAACCATCTTTACATTGTATGATATTACTCAATATGCCAGCTTCCATACTCGTACTTGACACCTTTGCAAGCAGCTGTTGGTGTTGTACAAGAGGTATTGGTTTTTTCTTTTTCTTTTTTTCTTTATTTTTTTTATTTTTTTTTTCTAAGTAAAAATATCTAAATTCAGTAGTGGAGATTTTAGGAAATGATAACTCACTTTTGTTGAAATTGTTATCAGGGTCTGCGGCCTACAATTCCGAAGCACGCTCATCCAAAGCTTGCAGAACTGCTAGAAAAGTGCTGGCAACAAAATCCAACTCTAAGACCCAATTTCTCTGAAATTATAGAGATTCTGAAGCAGATTAGCAAGGAGGTAGGTCACTTGTCTAGGATAAGTTTGGTACATTGAACCATAGTTTTAAATAACGGTATCAAGATATGAATCGATATTAGCAACACGGTTGTATATCGGCCAATATGAAATAATATAGTCCTGATATATCAATAAATAATAATAGCGAAAGTCTAAAATCTCAATACAACAAGACAATATGTAATGGTTGATATTTAAAACCTTAGAAATTGTTGAAACAGGTTGGAAATGATGGAGAGGGGCACAAGGATAAATCAATAGGCGGATTCTTCTCAGCACTCAGAAGGGGCCATCACTAAAGTCCGGAATATATGATCCTGTGGGCCATTTTCCAAATTTCAATTCCATTTTCTCATGTTGATCAGCTCATTTGTAGTTTTAACTTGTATTTTTATTTTATTTATAATATAGGAGCTTACCTCGTAAATTTTGTGTATTTAGGTTTCTTTCTTTTTCATTTAGATTTTTTTTGTCCCCATCGTAATTTGTTTCATTGCGCAAGTTGCACCATATGTTGAAATGGCTGAGTATGGTTGTAACACGAAAAATGTTTGAGAGTTTTAAATTGAGAGCACTGAAGGCTCTAGAGAGTGGGTCCCACTAATTGATATAATGTTTTGATCTTAAATTTTTTTTTTCTCTTTTTTTCTTGAATTTTCACCTTATTAGTGGTCTATTAGTGTTCCCAAATTAGTGGGATGTATCATTGTTGATTGTAACACTGTCCATGTCTCTGCCACACACAGTAAAATATATAAAACCTCATATATTTTATGTTTACTTGGGGAATGAAATGATAAGGGTAAATTACATCACTGGTCCTCTAATTCCTTTAATTTGAGCAAAATTTTATTGGTAAAATTGCAAATCAATTGAGTTTTCACAAAATATTTACAAATTTATGAAAAAGTTTATAACTTTAATTATTAAAGTTTATAATTCTTTTCATTGAATTTGAAATTTTTTTTTTTTTTTTTTTTTTGAAAACCTACCCTGAATTGCAATTTTTTCAATTTTATTTTGGTTGTCATAGTTTCAATTTGAATAATTTGATCTCTATACTTTTAATTTTGTTGTAATGTTCCTATGTCCTGTAGTGTCAACATTTTGAGCAAAAAAATCACGTGCAAAATTAGAAGGATCAAAGTAAAATTGAAAATAAATTATAAATATTACCTATGTAATATATTTATTACTTCAATGATCTCTATAGTTTGTTTTGAATTTGACTTTGATTTATTTAATTTTGCACATGTTCGTATTTTGTAAATAAGAGAGAAATTACATTACAACAAGATTAAATGTAAGATTAAAATTGTTCAAATTAAAACTACAGAAATTAAAGACACTTCACTTCACATTGCAACCAATGACATTTGCTTCTTGAGGCGAATCCTCAAGTTGCTCGGTTCTACCACTTATATACATATATATAAATATTTTTTTAAAAAAAAATTAAGAATTAATTACACTTTTCACTCATATAATTTGACCTAAATTTTATTTTTAGTTTCTATAATTTCAATTTGAATAATTTGGCCTCTCCCTTTAAGTCTATTTTTAATTTGATCATTCCATGTAAATTTTTGTTAGAAATTTGGCAAGGGTTTCAAAATTATAATCTTTTTCTCAATTTGTCTATGTGTACACTTTAGAAAATTGACAAGTGTCTCAAAATTGTTAATTTAAACCTCTAATTTAGACGAAAGAATCAAATTGAAAATTTAGAAATTTGACAAGTGTCCTAAAATTGTTTATTTTAACTTTCAACTTAGACAAAATGACCAAACTGGAACTAGACTTAAAGTATATGGACCAAATTATTTAAATTAAAACTATGACAAAATGAAATTTAGGTCAAATTGAGGTGAAAGATAATCCAAAAAAAATCGATAAAAAAAAAAAGAAGACAAAATTCACTTTATCCCCTTATAGTTCAAAAATAGGCAAAAAGCTCCCTTATGGTTTCGGACTAAATTGCAATTAACTTTAGATATTAATAGACTATTTTACCCTTATGCAAAAAATATTATTGTTATCTTTCTCTTTTCTATTATACACTTTATTTTAACTTAATCACATGTTAACTAATTAAATCATCTATTAACAATAAAATTTTATTTATTTAATCTAATTACATGTATACTTAATTATTTAACTTAATAAAACCCCTAATTGTACTATAATATATATATATATATATATACTATTATATAAAGTCAATAGTGTTCTTGATATGATCGTCACAACTTTCTTATTCCAATATTATCCTTATTTTATAACTACGGTTTAAATACACTAAATTTGTAATTGCAAATCTGTAATTTCAAGCACACGTGGGTGTGCACACCTTCTAATATATACATATACACACACATGGAGGGTTATTCATAGGACATGTAAAATATATTGAGAGGGTGATATTGAAAGAGCAAGTAAGCTCTGTGATTCAATGTATTGAAACTGTAAGAAGAGGCTCCACTATATAGGAGCTGCTATACAACATCATCATGAGAGAAAAACATATAAAACAGAAAAGGGGCCGAAAGCAAATAGCCGAAAGCAACTGAAAGAATCCTATGCCCTATGCTCTGTCCTATAGTGATTACAGTAATATATTCTACTATATACATTATACATTAACATATATTATACTATATACATTATTATACTATATACATTAACAGCCCCCCTCAAACTCAAGGAGGATAAACATTAACCAACTTGAGTTTGGAGACAAGTTCAACGAAGCGGTTAGGAGAATGAGCTTTGGTGAAGATATCAGCAGGTTGATCAACAGAAGAGATCGGATGGAGATGGACAATACCACGAGTGACGTGTTGACGAATAAAATGGCAGTCAATCTCAATGTGCTTGGTGCGATCATGAAAAACATCATTGTGAGCAATTTGAAGAGTATTGTGATTGTCACAAAAAGAGGTCAGTAGCACCAGAGGGGGTAACACCCATGTCAGCAAGAAGCCAAAGAAGCTCCTGAGTAGTATCAGCAAGAGCACGGTATTTAGCCTCGGTACTGGAACGAGCAGTAAGAGATTGTTTCTTGCTGTGCCAAGAAATAAGAGAATCACCCAGAAAAAAGCAAAACCCAGTAGTAGAGTGGCGGTCAGTAGGATCTCCAGTCCAATTAGCATCGAAAAAAGCACGAAGCTGGAGAGAGGAGCGGGCGGAATAATGAAGACCATGAAATATGGTGCCTTTGAGATACTGAAGGATACGAACTAATGCAGCATAATAAAGGGTACGAGGAGCCGACATAAACTAGCTGACAATATGAATGACATATGCAATATCAGGACGAGTAACAGTGAGATAGACAAGACTGCCAACTAGCTGACGATATAGGGTAGCATCAGAGAGAATAGTGTCATCAAGAGGTGTAAGACGACTCTGAGGCTCCAGGGGAGTGGAGGCAATCTTACAATCCGTAAGACCAGCACGTGTAAGAAGATTAGAGGTATACTTAGCCTGAGAGAGAAAAGAACCCGTAGAATCATGAAAGATTTCAAGACCCAAGAAATAATTGAGAGGACCAAGGTCTTTCATCTCGAAATGATGGCTAAGAAACTGTTTAAGGCGAAGAATACCATCGATATCATCACCGGTGATAATAATGTCATCCACATAAAGCAAAAGCAGGGTGGTCCCTTGAGCTGTTTTTTGGATAAAAAAAAGCATTATCATAAGAGCTGGAGGTGAAACCACATTCATGAATAGTAAAGCTGAACTTGGCAAACCAAGCACGTGGAGCCTGTTTTAGACCATATAAAGCATGCTGAAGTTTGCAGACTTTATGAGGCGGATAAGTAGACCCAATGGGAGGTTGCATGTAGACCTCCTCGAGAAGAACACCATTGAGGAAAGCATTTTGCACGTCCAGTTGATAAAGAGCCCAGTGTCGGGTGGTAGCAACAGCAATCAAGCTGCGAACAGAGGTGAGACGAGCAACAGGAGCAAATGTCTCCTCATAGTCAATACCATATTCTTGGTTGAAGCCTTTGGCAACAAGGCAGTGGTCCCTTGAGCTGTTTTTTGGATAAAAAAAGCACTATCATAAGAGCTGGAGGTGAAACCACATTCATGAATAGTAAAGCTGAACTTGGCAAACCAAGCACGTGGAGCCTGTTTTAGACCATATAAAGCATGCTAAAGTTTGCAGACTTTATGAGGCGGATAAGTAGACCCAATGGGAGGTTGCATGTAGACCTCCTCGAGAAGAACACCATTGAGGAAAGCATTTTGCAGGTCCAATTGATAAAGAGCCTAGTGTTGGGTGGTAGCAACAGCAATCAAGCTGCGAACAGAGGTGAGACAAGCAACAGGAGCAAATGTCTCCTCATAGTCAATACCATATTCTTGGTTGAAGCCTTCGGCAACAAGGCGGGCTTTGTAACGCTTAATAGATCCATCAGAACAAGTCTTGATTTTGTAAACTCATTTGCAGCCAATGGCAGCCTTGCCAGAAGGAAGATCAACAATATCCCAAGTATGAGCTTTGTCTAAAGCCTGCAATTCATCAGTCATAGCATGCTGCCAAAGAGGATTAGAACGAGCCTTATGATAGGAGGTCGATTCATAAGTAAAAAAAGCAGTAGAACCAACAATAAAGTCACGAAGACGAGTAGAAGGTTTGGTTACCCTGTGTGGTCGAGCAGAGGGAGAAGGAGCCAGAGGAAGAGACTCAGCAAGAGGGAAGGATCCCGAGGGAGTAAGAGCAGGACCATCAGAGTGAGCAGGTGTATGGGACAGACCAGTAGGCAAGGCGATCTCGAGAGAGGCTGGCAGGGGCGGTGGAATAGGCGTATCAGAAAACTCGAGAGAGGCTGGGAGGGGCGGTGGAGTAAGCTCATCAGAAAACAGATCTGTGGAAGGATCAGTAAAAAACAGAGAGGGTGAGAGAACGGACAAACGGAAGAGAGAGAGAAAGGAAAACATTTTGTGTTCCCAAAAGAACACATGACGAGAGATACAAAGTTGCTGGGAGAGAGGATCACAACAACGATACCCCTTATGTTCAATACCATACCCCAAGAAGCAACAACGATGGGAACGGGGTTCAAGTTTGATACGTTCATGAGGTTGGAGAAGAACAAAACAGGCAGATCCAAAGACCCTAAGGTTGGTGTAGGGGGGACGGGTGCCATGCAGACGCTCATAAGGAGTGTGATTGTGAATGACAGGTGTATGGATACAATTGATAGTGCAAGCAGCAATGAGAGCTGCCTCTCTCCAAAAATGTTCCGAACAAGAGAAAGACAGAAGGAGAGCGCAAGTAGTATCGAGAATATGCCGATGTTTTCGTTCAGCACGTCCATTTTGTTGAGACGTACCGGGACAGAAACGATGAGGTTGAGTACCATGACTCTGAAGGAAGGAAAGAAAGTCAAAATCTTTATATTCCATGGCATTATCGGAGTGAAAAAGCTTAATATTTTTAGAAAATTGTGTTTTAACCATTGCCGCAAAATTGTAATAAAGTTGTTTGAGCTTAGAGCGATTTTTCATAAGAAACAACCGTGTAAAACGGGAAAAATCATCGATAAAAACAACAAAATAGCGTGCGCTGCCTATAGTGGGAGTAAGAGAGGGTCCCCAAATATCAGAATGGATGAGATCAAATAGTGCAAGAGAAACAGAGTCACTTTTATTAAATGACAAAGTAGGTTGTTTGGCAAGTTGACAGGACACACAATCTAAAGCATCAGAACTTACGTGACCTAAATGACTACTAGAAATTAAAGATTTTAAACGACCAATAGAAAGATGGCCTAAACGACAGTGCCAAAGCTGAAAATGAGATAAAGGAGGAGCAGTGGTAGGAGCTGTAATCTGAGAGGAATCCGAAACATGAAGATGGATGAGTTCGTAGAGACGTCCATGTTTACGGCCTATCCCAAGAGTTTGCCCCGTCCGAGGGTCCTGCACCAAGCAACCAGTATGGGAAAAGGCAACAGTTAAACCATGCTCACATAATTGACTAATGGAGATAAGATTTAAAGTAAGAGCAGACATAAGATATACATGGGATAAAGATAAGTGAGAGGTAGAAACAGAACCAACATGACTTACAGATAGAAGAGACCCATCAGCAGTATGGATAGAAGGAACATAAGGAGTAGAAGAGAGAAGCGTAAAAATATTAGGGTCAAAGGTCATGTGATTACAACAAGTGGAGTCAAAGTACCAGGAAGTGTTACCTGCGGTGACAGACAAAGCAGTAGATGGAGGAGTACCGAAATTCTACCAAAAATGTTAAAGCATGGCTTCGACATCTGTTTGAGAGAAGACTGGAGTGGAAGGATCTATAGGGACAGAGAAAGGTAAATCCTCTGAGGCAGCAGCAGCAGTGTGTTGAGCAGGCATTGGTTTAAACAGAGTCCCAGAACAGTGAGAGTTGTTGCGGAAAAAATTCTCGGGGGAAGGTCCATTGCGAGAGACACGGGCGGGATTGCGGAAACAATCTTGCTGGAGATGACCAGGACCAGTCTTGTTGCAAAACCGACAAAAATGAACTGGACAATTAACCAGAAGATGAGTCGACGGAAGACTGCGGTTTTGACAGTAGTTGCAGATAGTGGACCTATGTGGTGAAGGTGGTGAAGGAGAACTCCGAATCAGGGGAGTAGCAAGAAGAAAGTCCACAGGGTGCAGATGGAGAGTGCCAAACCTGGTTTCCTCTTACAGTAGTTCAGAAATTACTTACTCAAGAGTGGGTAAAGGAGTGCGATGAAGGAGAGATGCGCGTACTAGCTCAAAACGGGAAGTAAGAGCACTGGCTCAAAACGGGGAGTGAGAGCCATGAGAAACTGAACCAAGCGCTTTTGGTCACGGTAAGTAGTAAACAAGGCAGCATCCTTAGTACAATCCCATGGAGGTTCAGAAAGAGCGAGCTGATCCCAAACATAATACATTTGGGAGAGGAAATCATTAATGGTCTGAGTTGTATCTTGGCGCATACGGTGAAGATGACTCAGAAGCTAATATTGGTGAGCAAGGCCAGTAGTCTGATAGCGTTCTTGTAAAAAATCCCATATGGCCTTGGCTGGAGAGGAAGCAGAGTCAAATTGAAACCGTCCAAACTGAAGACTGATAGATGTAATAGAAGTATTGTGAAGCCAAGTGATGATCTGATAGTTTTTACTATCCCAATCGTCCAGACGGTCAACATATTTGGCAACGGATTCCGTGGTGGCTGCGGATTCCGTGGTTGCTTGGATGAGTTTGTACACATCCCCAGTGATGATGCGCCAAAGTTTCTTTCCTTTGAGGAATCCAGACATAGTTTGTGCCAATAAGACATAGTTAGTCCCATCAAGAACAACAGAAATAGGGTGGTTAGAGGAGTCCGGGCGATCCATGAAGGAAAATCAGTACTATCGAGGTAGAATCTGAAAAATCTGAGGGCACCAATGAATGCAGAAGGTTCAAATTAGTGAGGAATCGGACTGAACCGGCTAGAAAAGACAAAAAATAAGGGTGAACCGGCCTGGGAAAGGTGCTGAGCCGGCTTGAGCTGGGCCAGCTGGAGCCGAGGGCACAGGTGTGTGCAAGTGGCGCGAGCCGAAGACGAAAGCGGCGCGAAGCGGTGCGGCGCGAAGGAGGGACGCATGCGGGAGAGCTGGCTCAAGCAGACAGCGTAAACGGCTTGCGTACGCGTGTAGCGCGTCAGAGTGAGGTGGCTCAAACGACTGGTGGACGCATGGAGCACGTGGAACATGGAAGGCGGAAGCGGTGACGCGCCGACGACAAATGTGGCGCGTGAGAGCGCATATGACGTCTGATGATGATGAATCTGGTGGCATTGGATTCAGAGTGAAGAAACGAAGGTTCTGTTGTGTCCAATCTGTAATTTAGATAAGGACGAGATATGCAACAATCTGCTAAACAGAAACGGTGATGCAGACGAGATACACAGCAACGGAAGAAGAGACTAGGAAAAACACATGCGCTCTGATACCATGTAAAATATATTGAGAGAGTGATATTGAAAGAGCAAGTAAGCTTTGTGATTCAATGTATTGAAACTGTAAGAAAAGGCTCCATTATATAGGAGCTGCTATACAACATCATCATGAGAGAAAAACATATAAAACAGAAAAGGGGCCAAAAGCAGATAGCTGAAAGCAACCGAAAGAATCCTATGCCCTATGCTCTGTCCTATAGTGATTACAATAATATATTATACTATATACATTATACATTAACATATATTATACTATATACATTATTATACTATATTAACAGGACATAATCGAAGTCGATTCTACATGACAGCCTATTGATAAATAGATCAGAAAATCAAACCAATAAAACAACCCAATATATGCATACAGACGATTTGAATTGATTTATGGTAGATGCTTCAAACTGATCAAAATACATGGACTGAGATGTTGCTGTATCAAAGTTTTGAACTGATCGATTGTCAGAGAGAGGGGAGAGGGAACAACTCCGCTGGTCGGGCAATAAGAGATAGGGAAGTGAATTTTGCCCCAAAGAAAATAGGGGGAAAAAGTTGCATAGCACAGTAATAAAACTTGAATTCAAATATCTTATCTAAGTAAGGAAGTGCCCTTAGTCTTGAGGTATCCCTAGTAGGCTAGTTTCATCTTTTGGCACAAGTTTCACATTTCCAAGCCGCAACTATCCAAAAGGGATTTTTTTTTTTTTTTTGGAGGGGGGTTTAAGTCAGTCATATTATAACCCAAAAAGAAATTTATATAGTGAATTTTAATACACATCTTTTGTATGGAAAACAAATATAAACAAAAACAAACTACTCTTTCAAAAGAAACAAGCTAAGCCAATAAAAGACAAACACAACATACATAACAAAAAAGATTCAAGTTTTCCCTTTAGCACTCTTCAAGTTATAAAGTTTCGCTTTGCGTTGTAGTCTCCTCATTATTTGGGTCACCTGGAGATAGACTCCCTCTATTTTTTAAGCTCTTCATTTGGCACAATAACTCTTAATTTAATTCTCCATTCCCTAACTCTCTCATATCATACGATTCAAGGACATTAAAGACATTAAATGCTGAGTGGCTGAAAGACTACGTCTCTCTCTCTTTGTTTATCACTGCTTTTGAACCTTACCAACCATCTCTCCCCAATCCAAAAGGTTACACCTCAAGTTAGCTGTAATAGTTTTCTTATTTTGGTGAGCGAGTTGCAGCAACTAGGTGGGGTCAGACCAGCATCTCTAGGCTAGGTTTCTATAATTTGATCGAAGCCCAAAGAGAGCTACATTGCTTCATTGAATAAAAGCTAGGAAAATGATACATCCCCTAAAAATGATACACTTGGCAATGAAAAAAAAAAAAGAAAAGACATAAACATCATTATCATTGTAGGACTCACCCCTATTAGAACTCATTAAAGCTCCTTTATTAGAACTCCCAATCATTTTTCTAAAAGCTAATCTAAGTACACTGGTGCAAAGCACGAACAGGACTTATAACTGTTCTTTCTTTTTCTTTTTCTTTTTCTTTTTTGGTAAACAGGACTTTTAACTCTTCATGTGTGAGAAAGTTGCTATTATTTCCTTCTTTTTACAAATGAGACCTAACAGTCTCCTACATATCCCAGGATCTGTAGTATCTGTTGTAAACCTTTTACCAGAACGTTAATTTACTACATTGGTTGAGTTTTGTACATCAAACGCCTATTTTGTGCAGAAAATGGCAGCATTTATGAGACCGTGGGAAGTCCAGTCTGTGTCCAAGCAGCATACCCACCAGCAATATCTGTAACACCTGTAAAGGCCTGCATGAAAGAATTGAAGATTCCGTCAGTTCAGCAGAACTTGGATCAAATTTGAAGCCAACTTGAGGAATTGATGAGCCGAGTGCAGCTATGTGAAACTGAAATATATTTGCTCAATATACAGATGCACAAAGGAATACGACTCAAGAAAGTGTAAGACTTCATTTTCTTCTCTGAATTATACTAGTTTGATCAAAACCATGAATAAATCTAGTAGAAACCTTGAGATTCATATTAAGTGCAAGTTCATGATTTCAATGAATCATCACAAATGGACAAATGGTCAAATGTGCAATGCTAACTAAAAACTCGTAGGAAATCTTCAGGATTTGCAAGCCATCTGTGATTTGGAAGGCTTCACCAAACTAAATAATTCTAGACTGTCAAGCCAATTTTTCGCTCAAATGATCCATGAGTAGGTTAGAATAAGTGTGCATGCAAATATTGAAACCAAAAAAAAAAATCATTAGACCTGAAATATTATTACAGTAGTCCAAAATTGAGACAACATGTTCAAATTGTCATAGGATACCATTGAAACTAGTATTTTGATCCAACCAATTGGTAATGGCAACATAATATTTTGTAAACTTTCATCCAAAGAGATATGTTCCATGGTTATCATTAACCAAGTTCACTTTCAATACCTATTTCCAAAGATTTCTACTAGGTTGGTGCATTAATGCTTCACTAATATTGTAAGGACTAACGCTTCACCTGAACCTAAAAACTTAGAAAGCCTTGAATGCTAAAGAATAAAGATTTTCTAGACTAATTCCCAATAGTTTAAACATTAATGATTAATTCTTCTTGCACTTGACATGAATGATTAATTCCCGTTAGTTTAAACATTAATGGTCTTTGTCACACATCAATGGTCTTGGTGAAGAAAATGACTTCTTGTTATATTCCAAACAAACAGAAGTTCCTGTCAAGTCCGAACAGCATTAGGGCAGTAGTCCTCTCAATTGGCAATGACTAGGGTTGCAAACGAGCCGAGTCGAGCTTTAGTATGTTTGGGTTTGTTTATTAAGATTTCAAGAATAAAAATTTAACGAACCAAGCTCGAGCCGAGTTGGCTTAGGCTCAACTCGAGCTCGAGCCTGTTCACGAGCCTTAACGAGCCAAAAAATTTATAAATTCATACTTGCATGTGAGACTAAAGTTACAATTAAAACTTTGATTTTACAATTATGTATACAATATATATAAACATATTAAAAAAAAGTCCATGTTTTACTAAAATAATAATATCTACTACCACTATTATATAAATGTACTATCTATAGTTAACTATTATTTACATTTATATTTTTTAAAGATATAAATAACATATTTTTCTTATTTTTTATACATATTTTTATATTATTTAATATATAAATAATAAATATTAAACGAGTCAGCTAACGAGCCGAACTTTAGAATGTTTGGGCTTGTTTATTAAAAATTTAACAAGCTCAAGCTCGAGCTCGAACACAAAAAAAAATTAATAAACCGAGGTCGAACGAGCTCTTATCGAGCCTGTTCACGAACGGCTCTGTTCATTTGCAGCCCTAGCAATGACAATCTAATATGCATATAACCTGCATCTATTTAGAAGATATACTTACAGCTGATATAAGGTCTGTCGCTGCCATTAGCGATCTTTTACCAAGCTGGCATCCCTGAAATTCAGAAAGAAAGTCTCCAAAAGTCAGCCGAAGGGATTAAGACAAGATTTTATTTTGACACACCATCCAGGCAAATGAAGGTTTTACACAAGCAGCTTGAATATTGTTGTAATATTGTTACTTCAGCCATCTACAATATCTATTTAATAGTATCATAATCAATAAAACCTTGGCAGCTTTATATTTTTGTGAACCAAAAATGATTGAAGATCTCTCATTGGCATGAATTTGTTATTGAGCAATAGTACCCAATCTACATAAAAAATCTACTTTTAATGCCCAGAAAAAAGGTTTAATCCAAATGAAGAGGATAGTTATGTTACAATTTATCTATATTTCATTCTCATCCGACATGAACTTCTTGTTGCTTGTATAAAAAAATTCATTACATAGATAGTGGCTAAAGGTGAACTTGACAAAAAGTCAACGCCAAAGAATAAAATAGACAAAAATTAGGGACTCACGACAATAATTTCATCATCTTTTCCAAAATGTAATAGAACTTCCTCCAAAAAATTAGGGTTCTTTGTCATGCCTGCAGTGAGTGAACAACAAAAGAACAAAGCAACAAATTAAAGAAGATAATGGACTGAAATTACAAGGCATCGGCATTGAGGTTGTCTGACCTAGAATAGGCCCCAATCACCTTGTTTCCAGGCTTTTGAATTGTGATTGTTAATATAACTAAACATTGAGAGAAATTCTTGGATCATCCTCTAGCTTATAAAACTCAGGGAAAGTATCCAAGAAAAAAAAAACAACATTTAGTGTTCGTTCCTCTATTTATGAATTGGGAGGGGAAACGAACGAAGGCACAAACTAGTCAACCTGCATTAACCTCATTTTTGAATTCTTACTGTGAGAAATGCAACGATTGATCAATAAAACACAACAATTGATGTACACTTGAAACGGGCAAGGGTTCGAAGTTGAATCAGTCAATTTTCACTGTCATGCCCATTCTCATCAAAACAATGTCATAAACAGATTAGAATTGCAAATTTGCTCTCAGTAATAGACACAAACCTGATCCAACTTTGAACATGTAAGGAACATTGATGGCCCCAACAGCATGCCCTGCACTAAACTCCTCAGCAGTCCTACACACAGTCACACCCACCAACAAAAAAACAGTTAGCACACCACAGTAACACTCACAGATTCACCATCTCTACCCAATCAAATCAATTTTGCAATTCAGAAATTTTTTAATAACTCTGCACAAAAAAAAAAAACAATGAATCACAAACACTACCTGACATCCAAATACCGGTGTCCAGCCTGAAGAAGCTCGTGGGCTACTCGAACCGGGACCGATGTTGGAACAGCTGCCGATTCCACATTCCCTCGGACCGTAGCCATCCAACTGTTAATTAAATTCCGAAATAACAACAAAACACAGATGATTGTTTTGTAAGCACCTAAAATTTTCAAAACCATTCGTGATTGAGGAATTTAATCAAACATGTAATACGCACTTGAGGCTGGAGTTTCTGTCTTCGCGGCCAGCGATACGCTTTTTGGGGACTCGAAACCGCGAAGCCGCCGTGGAGAGTTGCGATGAAACTGGCATACACCTACAAGTAGTAGTGAATTGAGAACCAACCACACAAATGAATGCTCCATATAAAAAAATACGATTGAGAGAGTAAGTAACGTAGAGTGAGTGACCTGAGATTGAGGCATTCGTGAGGAGCAAGGAGTTGAGGAATTAAGAAGCAGGGTGTGGAAAGGAAGAGCTTGGTCGTCATTTTTTCCACTCTGTTTTTCTGTGTGTAGAGAGACTTTTGGAAGACAACTTTGAATCGAAGAGAAGAATTTGAAGCGCAGGAAGACGGTGAATATGGCTGGATGTATCATCATCGTCGGGCATGCCGACATTATTCATGTACGACTAATGCTTATCCTCGGTAAAAGGTGATAAGGACTCCGCGAAAAGTGAGAGTCACTATGGATAAGGATGGTAATGGCGGTTGATAAGGGTCATAATCATAATCGGCCAAAAAATATATATATATATATATTATATCGATTATTTGGACAATCAATTGGCGGGAAATTTTATTTTCACATCTAAATAATTAAGATGGCATACTTAGGGTTGGTTTGGGATGTCCTAAAAAAGTGTACTTTTTGACTTATTGGTGGGTTTGGGTTGGGTTTGGGTTGGGTTTGATGTGATGTGTTAGAGAGGTGATGTGATTTAAATAAGATGATGTGACTTAAATAAGATAGTGACTTTTTGACTTTTTGGCTTATTTAGTATATGCCAAACTAGCCCTTAATAAGTTTTTAATTTAATGGTAATTGTATCTTAAATTTTAATGATCATAATAGACATTTAACAATATTTGTAATATTATATATAAAAAAATCTTTATACATATCTTTTATAAATAAAAAAATCTCAATGTACACCTTCTGAGTTAAAAAAATAAATCCTAGTTTTTTTTTGCTGTTGTTGCCATTTTGCTTACTATATACTCTATACTCCTTTATTACTTGTAAAACAATACTCTCAAAATATCTTTCATATTGCTTTAATCTCTAGATTTGCGATCTATTATTTATATCATTTTCTTATCAATTCTACAATTTTTGATTGATTTTGATATGGAAGAGTTGCAAATCTATGAAAATTCAAACCCAAGTAAAAATATGTTGGGTGACAGAAAAATAGTAATGAAAATGTTGTTTTTTTCGAGCAATATTTTTTTCGATTTTAATTCGATAAACCAGTGTTGAATTTATGTATTAAATTCATTTTTTAAAGCTGAATATTTTTAATTTTTTCAATTACTAAATGTCGAAATATAAAATTTCATTCGGCTATGTAGTGCCGAATTAAAAAAATTTCTTGCCCCTTTTCCAGATTACATGCACTGAGAAACTGAGGTTATAGGGCGCAGTGTTTTATTTTAGAGGTTTTCAATGGAAGTTTTTATGGAGGTCTTCCATGGATGGCTTCAAAGAACTCACTTCAAATATTGAAGTAAAAGTTCATGTGAGTGGAAGTTTTTTGGTTTTCAAGTTTTCAAAAAGTGTGTGAAAATGAGGGGTAAGTGTGTATATAATAATATTTGAATGAAGGATGTAATTATAATTTTTAGGGGTGGGTGCGGGTCGGTTGCGGCCACGGAACCTCCAATCCGCCATCCGTCCCCCAAATTGGCGGATTGGAGAAAATCAATCCGCATCCGTCCGCCAATCCGGCGGATGTGAATTGAGCGGATTGGCGGATAGATGCAAATCGGTTTGGCGGTTTGAAATTTTATAACTTTTCAACATAGTTCAACTTGTGCACTCCCTCAAAAAAAAGAAAGTATTACAGTCAATGACTTAAAAAAATATTACAATTACTGCATGCCTCATCCAAAAAAAGAAAGTTTGAAACTTTAGAATATCACAATCATTGCATGTCTCATCCACATATTACAATCCCAGCATGCCTCATCCACGTAAAATATTACAATCTGTGGTTCTTAAAATATAAAAACAATTCAAACCACCAAAACCATAAACAGAGCAATAGTAGAGATTGTATGTCTCTGTATTGTTACATTTATATATGTTTTTGAAAACAAAAACCAACCAACATATATCTTATTTTTTATTTATTACTTTTAGAGTTAGATTTAAAAACAAAAAAATATAGATAAATAATATGTTTATTTTTTTCAATTCAAAAAATATATTCAAGTTGAAAATTTTTTTTCAGCAGAATATTTGAATTCTTTTTCAATTGAAAACACAAACAAAATATTTAAACAAATTGAAAACACAAAGTCTTATAAATTACTAAGGGTGCTTGCGGTTTGGCGGTTCGGTTGCGGCCAAAGGAACCTCAAATCCGCCATCCGTCCGCCAAATTAGCGGATTGGAGAAAATCAATCCGCAACCGTCCGCTCGTCATCACACATCTGTCCAAAATGCGGCGAATCGGTTTGGTTCGGTCGGTTTTGGCGGATCAGTATATTCGCTGCTCACCCCTAATAATTTTTAGTGTGTGGATAGAGAAAAACAATCAATAAATAAATTAACAGGTATGTATATTGAGAAAAGATTTACTCTAATTTATTTAGGTGTGTGAAAATAGAATTTTCCTCGATTGGCACTCACAAATTTAGACAATTCAGATAAATTCAAATTTGATATATGAATAATTTTTTTTTATTTTTTTTTCTCTTCGAGTAATGTCACGTGTGCTCCAACTTGATTTGAATTAGTTAAAATAATAGAATTTTTTATTTTTTATTAGATATTCTTTTAAAAACCAAGTTTAATTTAATATTGATTAGTTAAAATAATAAAACTTAATAATATTTATTGTTTAATTTTTTATAATAATTTAACAAATATTAAAAAATAAATAATGTGGAACAATGCTTCTATACCACTCAATAATCACTCAGCCATACATCCTTTCAGTTAAGGCCAAGTTTGGCATGATTGAAAAAAGATAAAAAGTCAAAAAGTCACTATCCTATTTAAGTCACATCATCTTATTTAAGTCACATCACCTCTCTAACATATCACTTCAAACCCAACTCAAACTCAACCCATATTTCATAAAAAGTCAAAAAGTACACTTATTTAGTCTTCCCAAACTAGGCCTCGGATAATTCTCTCCATTTCTATCCCATTATTTGCTGACTCGGCCATACCGATGCAGAGATGACATTTAGATAACTAGAAACCGCTGGATTTCTATCCTTAACATCCCTAAAACGCTTTCGAACACACGTCGAATTTTGTTACCACATATCAAATGTATGCACAAAACAAACTTTTTAATTGATATTAAAATAATTCACAATTTTACTTTGAATAGCTTAAGTTTTATATTATATTATAGGAGATGGATGTTATGGCCTGTGCAGTCATTAGGATCTATTTTGAAGTATATTTTAATAATTTCAGTCGTTTATTTTTTAAGATAATTAAGTGAAGTATATTTAAAACAAATTAAGTTAATGAGATATTAATAATATTTTCATCAAATAATATTTGTGTCCAGTTTTATACTTGAAATCATATTTGTCATTCTTTTTTGTAAATATAAATGCAATCGATTAAATGGTTAACGATATCTGATCAATTTAATTTTTTACAAATATAATCTATTTGATATATCCTAAAATATAAACGGTTTGAATAATTGAAATAGGTCATGAAATGGGCCCCAATGACCACGCAACAATGGTTATTATGCTCCGCACAGTAGTCACTAATCTCCTTTATTATATTTATCATTTTATTTGACATAGGTGAGCCCATAAAGAATATGACCTACCACTTAAGGCCCAATCCATGATTCATAACATTAAAGCTCAGCGTTTTAGGAACCCAACGTTACACCAAGCACCAATGACATTTAACCACTTGACAAGTGAAGAACCAGCCACATCAGCAGACAAAGATTCTGCAAAGTAATTGCACCACACATCAGCCATTAATTAGTTTCCCTGTAGCATTTATTGTGATAACCCTTCACGTCGGAACAGAACAGCCTCACCATAAACAAGGCAAGCTAGAATATAGACTTTCGGCCAACATGACGGCTCGGAGTGGATAAGGAAATGATGAACAAAGGATATAAGCAGGTTTCTAGGACAAAAAAAAGGTTAAGCTCTCTATCTTCATCCTCTCTCGACACCATCATCACTCTTACCTCACTAACTTGATCGTCAGAGGGTTCGCTGAGGGACTTCCCGTTCTCCGTTGAACTCTTGTGCAGGTCTCTCTGTGGGCTCAACACCCCAGGCAACAGTTTGGGACGCGTGGATCGATCCGACCTGTTCCATTTGGAGCAGTCAGTATCATCAGTTGGTGCCGTCTGTGGGAAACCTTTTGCTCTGTGCGGCAACTGTGCTCATTGTCGCCGGAGACCCATTCCCGATATTCCCTACCTGGCACCCACCAAGGTGGATGGTCACAACTAGATCCATGGCTTCTCAACACAACGTTGCCGACCCCCAAGCCGATCCTCTTAACCCAAACAACCCACCGTAGTATTTCACAGAACTCACCAACAACATCAACCGCTTAGCCGATCAAAACCAAGCCCTGATCAATGTTTTGCTTCAAAGAGACCTTCCCATACCTCTTCCACTACCTCAAGATATCCCACCCAACCAAGAACGAGCCCCGAGTCACCCCATCCAACAATCCCACCCATCTAACTTGGAGGGCTTGCGCCTTCCTCTTCCAGATATGAACCCGCCACCTCGGGCCCAACACCCATCGTTCCAAGTACCTGCCCCGAGGGAGAGGCTAGTAGTGTCCAACCTCCATTGCATTCCGTGGTGACAACGTTCCCCTTTGGGATGCCGAACTTCGAGCCATGAAACTCCAGCTTCAAGGAGTCATGCAGAACATACAGAATAAACCCTCTACTATAGCCAACTCACCATTCGTTGCCTCCATTAGAGACAAACCCCTACCTCCTAAGTTTAAAATGCCCTCGATCGATTCTTTCGACGGTACAACGAACCTAGTCGACCACTTGGAGACTTACAGGACCCTCATGATCCTCCATGCATTCCCTGATGAGATCATGTATCGGGCTTTCCCTGTAACACTTAAGGGATCGGCCCGAATGTGGTTTAGCTAGCTGTCGACAGACTCTGTCTCTACTTTTCAGCACTTAACTGACTCATTTCTCAGCCACTTTATCAGGGCCCAGCGTCAGCAGTGTCCGACAACTCAACTCCTCAACATCCGTCAGACAGAGGGGGAGTCACTTCGCAGCTTTGTCACCCGCTTTAACACCGAGGCCTTGCAAGTGGCGGAAAACAATGACAAGGTCATTCTCACGGCTTTTATGGCCGATCTACGTTCATCTGACTTCCTTTTCTCCCTCTCTAAAAACCCTCCAACCTCCATGGCAACCCTCTTC